AGGGAGAAAGGAGAGGCTTTAGGGAGTCGTGGGGAGATGAACCGATGGCACGCGAGAGCTGGCAGAGGGGTTGCAGGGGCAACGCATACCCCTGAGGAGTAAAATACATTTCATTTCCAGCATATAAAAACTGCAAACGCGAGAAAGGCAAAAGGAGGCAACACTTAGGGGGAAAGCCATGGCGCATCAGTAGGAGAAGGTGCTGGGGCACCAGCACCCATGGGAGCAGCATGGAGCATGTCTGTACTGTACCGTGCTTGGCCCTGGGCATGGGGAAGGCGGCTGCCCTCAGCCCAAGGCGTGTCTCCGAGTACCCAGAGGAGGAAGGAAGAAGGGCAGAGAGCGCCGGAGAAAACAGCCTCAACTGTCCCAGCACATCTGTGGGCACTAAGCCCAGAGGCCACGGTTCAGGCTGCAGCCTCCCTCTACAGAGGGCTCAAGCTGCTGCCAGGCACCATTCACAGCCCGGAGGGAGCGGGGCTGGCCCAGGTCCATCCCAGAGCCTCATCCCTCCCAGCAGCCAGGCCAGCACCGAGCAGAGGGGAAGCAGACTCAGGCCCTTCAAGGGCACATACAGGGAGGGGACCTCTACGTTTCCCCAAAGCATGAAAGCAAACCAGTTGTGCCCCTCCCTCGCCTTCTAACTCTGTCCAGGCTCCTGAAGATATCACATTGCTGAGCAGCAGCACAACAGCTGGAGGAAGAAGGCCAAAGCTGCCACTACCAGCCCCAGGCATGGGACAGCCCCTAAAAACGGGACAGAGAGCAGTGTGTTGCAGGCAGGAGGGCTAAGAGCAGGACAGAGGGAGCAGAACTCTGCCTTTAAATCCCCCCCCAAGTAGCCAAGGGCAGGTGCAGGGCCTCGAGTCGCACAAGACTCTGCACAGGCACCCACTGCCACTGCAGGCTGAATGCAGAGGTACAGTCCCAGCCCCAAGACTCATGGCCTGGGCAAGGTGAAGGAAGATCCTGCCATAGGGCAGTGCCAGGCTTGGACCTGGCTCAATATGTGGGCAAGAGGAGGGAGGCAAGAGGAAAGTGGCAGCATCTCTCCACTCCCCAGAGGCACTGAAGCCCTAGAACATTCATGCATTAGCCAAAAGGCAACTACAACGGGATTTCAAACGCATATATAAGGCTGGTCCCTGCTCCCCTCTCAGGGCTGCGGGAAGGGCAGGGCATCTTCCGCAGGGGGGAGGAAAGAAGCCATCTTCAGCACCACGCGTGCCCAGCGCCCTTGGAGCTCCGTGTCCTCCTGTCGGGCCACGCCACGCTCCAGCTCTCCCCCCCACGGGCGGCAGGCTCAGAGAAAGTCAAACACCCCGTAATTCTTTGCTGCTTGATAGAAGAAACACAAAAGGGTGAAAAGAAAGAAGAGATGTTTAGGGTGGAAGGACTGAGGCAGCAGCGACACGCGGGCAAGCAGCACAGGGCGCTGGGACGGATGCGGATTAATGGGGTTAGAGAGGACGGCAGGAGGGAATTACCATTGGCAATACACAAGTCTGGTGGCAGGATGGGCTGGCAGCACCCAGCAGGTCTGCCAGGCCCGTCCACCCCGCTTGAGGAGGGATTAGAACCAAGGTTTAGTTCCATTTATTATTTTTTCCCTTTTTTTTTCTTTTCATTATCAAGAACAAAAAAAAAAAATAAAAAAAACCAAACCAAAACAAACAAAACCCAAAAAACAAGGGGTGAAGCCAGGGCTGGTCCTAGGAGACAAACGATGGGGATGGAGGGGGGAAGGAGGGGCAGCAGACAGACAGGGGACGGGCGCTTCACATTACATCCACAAAGAACTCACTGGGGTTGCCCATGGCCATTCGGAAGGACTGTCTACTGGCTGGGAGGTCCGGGGGCCACAAAGCCAGGT